ATAGTGTTGGGGTTGTATCGCCCCCTTTTACTTCTCCTGTTGTTAACAATTGTATTGAGGAGGGGGATTTGTGCAATATTGTGGCTGGGGCTGTTGAACCGGTTGTTGTTGAAGTTTCCGGTTTACCGGCCGTGACTGTTGTTAATGATCCTGAGTGTGTTCTAGTGGAGAATTTGAATGGAAATTTGGTGTGTTCCAATAACTTTGTTGATGTCCCGGTACACATGGTGGAAATGCTCAATATGGTGAATCGTTTGGGTGAAAGCTCTGGTTTTGATATTAGGAATCACGTGGATTGGTTGCATGGATCATCTGATGTTGAATCTGAATCCGATCATTCAGATTGTGGTTTCACCTCGTCGAGATTTTTTGGGGGTTCTGACCCTGGGAATGATTTTACTCTGGTTCATGATAAACTAGTTCGTTCGATTGCTTCTCATGGGAGAGCTCGCGGGAGGGGCTGTAGAAGATGATAACTGCTTCTTGTTTATTGTTTTTCTTACTGTTGTTGTTCGGGTTTTGCTATCTGCTGTTTTGTCGCCTTCGTGGTCCATTTTTTTTAGGGCAATGATGTGGTTGGGGCTCATGTCCTCGTCGTTTTGCTGGTGGCAACCTTTAGTGATGTTCGTAGAGTTGGTTGATTTCTGGGCGCAATCTTCACCTAGGCGTCAGGGATGCTGGGAGCCTTGGCCAAATACTGAGCCCATTTTTCATTGTACTTTGTCTTTTTCTTTTCTTGTTTGCCCTTTTGATGTTGTAACAGTTTTCTTCTTTTTAATATATTTGTGTTTTGGTTAAAAAAAAAAAAGGCTATTATAAGGTTCTAGACTTTTTGTATGGTCCAATAATATGAATTTGAGGTGTTAATAAATGATCCGACTTATCAATCCGACCTGAAAAATTTGAATTTGGGTTGGCTAGCTTAACAAATAGATCGAATTCGGGTTTAATTTTTTTGACCCGTTCGAATGACCCACCAGCTCATTTTTTACTCCAAAATGTCTCATTTAATATTTTTGCCCTTAATTTTTTTATTTATGGTTATAATATTATTATTTTAATTAAATATTCTAAACTTTATATTTAAAAAGTGATAAAAAAACTTAAGTTATAAAAAAGAATTTAACCAAAATGAGTTAACTGGTCCAGTTCCAATCATTCGGGCTACTAACAGGTCAAGTTCGAATTTGAGTTTGACTAGTTTAATAAACAAGTTTGGTTTGGATGGATTATATTTGTGTTGAGTCAATTTTTAGTCATATTCGACCCTGGCCCTTCAACTCATTTTGACACTCCTACTAGGAATAAATCCCAATCTTAAAATATATTGACTTTATTTTGTGTGACTTTTCATGATATCTTATTGTGCTAGGACCCATCAACTTATCACCAAGGAGTAGTACTAGACCCTTGAGTTGTCCTTAAACTATGTGAGACCCATTAAGGCTTAGTGAATGACTCGATAAATCTATCATAAGAATTGGCACTAGATCTTAGCTAAAAAATATAGCCAACTCTAATTTTCTTTCCAACATTTAGAAGGAATCACCTATGCTAATTTTGATTTTTTTTTTTAGTTCAATTCAAATTATCAGACTAATTATGATTCATATTCTCAATTTCAATATGAATCATCATACTAGCACTATTTCATTTTCTTAATTTAGCAGGAATAATATAAAATAATGACACTTCATTAAAAATTATTTCTTAGCTTTTTTTTTTTACTCATTTACTCTTTATCACTAAGATTTATGATAATTATAAGTTTTTAAACTTTTTTTCTCTAGTTTTGCAGTAAGAACTAAACCCTATCCTAGGATACCTTTGCTACATTAATGAATATTCTATTTTGTGTTGCTTATTAATGTATCATAACTTTTTAAAATCCGAGCTAATTGTCCTTAACCTTGTAGCACTAAACCTTTGAGTGTCCTAAACCTATATGACACCCATCAGGACTTAATGAATAACTCGATGAATTGTATTATAAGACTTAGCACTAGCTCTTACCTTAAGATTACAATCCTAAACAAGATTATCCTAGGCCTAATTAGCTAAACTCTCATTCACATTTCCCTAGAGATTAATTAAACCATATTGGGGATTCAACTAACCTTGTGAATAAAGCTTTGGTATATGTTGACCTTGATTAGAACCTAATTAGATCTAATGTACTATATGAATTAGGCTTAGTTTAAATCCCATTCCACACTCTAAAAAATTCATGATCGGCCCTAATTAGTTACTCTTAGTTGTTTAAATTGGTTAAGCCATCCCTTTGATATAGAGTTAGTTGGATCCGAGCACTTTTGAAAAATTCTTGGCCAAGCTTCACGCCTCAATGACAAATTTAGAATGAATTGATCAAGCCCGATTATAAAGTTCTCAATAATAACATCTATACATCTCTTAACCAAGATCGTAATAATTATAACCTAAGAACTTTTCGAGCATGTATGAAATTTGAACCCCACTTTAAAAGAGTGTCATTCAATAAACTACCACCCTAATTTCATTAAGACTCATAAAAAATACAACATATGACAAATAATCATATGCCTTAAAAGGTATAGTGTCAAATATTCTCAATTTTGTCATGATTTTATACTTTTGTGTAATCTTCTAAATACTAAAAAAAAAAAAAAAAATTGTAGTGAACAATTATGTACTTAGTTTATGATAAGTGAATAGCTGGGCCGGTAATCATGTTATTCATATATAAATCTATTTATATATATGTTTTATTCACATCAAATAATTTCCCCTAATTTTATTGTTGCAATCCGGATTCTTAGGGTGTGATTTTGATGATGACAAAGAATATTAATTTAAATAGTTATTTTTAGTACATATTTTAGATATTCTTTTTGTCTGTGAGCACTAATATCGCAGGTTAAATATACGCTATTCAAGGCTACTAGAAACTCAAGATTGGGTAGAAAAGAATATCAAGTAAAAGAGTTTATACTTCTAAATATATTTTATTTTATATTTTTTGAATCTAACCATATAAAAGTATATGTAATTGGGTGACCGTGCACACATATAGGGAGACTGAGAAAATTTTAAAGTTAATTTTTTTTTTGTACTAATCATACTATTCCACTTACAATTATACTATACGATTAGTTCTACGGAGAATGAGTTTAACGACTAATTAAAAAATTAATTTATGTGAATTTATCATACTATACGATCCAAATCAAAATTTATAATTTGTTACGAACTGAAAACCCTAGCTACTGGATAAATTAAAATATTTGAAATTTAAATTTTGAACTAATGGTACTATTCGATATGATTATACTAAACAAAAATTTAAAATATTACTTAAATTAACCCCATATTAGTTAATCAAATCAAAGTAAAATTAATTAGAGTCGATTGTACTATATGATGATGATCATATTGCATGCTTAAAAGAGATGAAGTTTGGTCATCTTAGATATCGTACCAATCAAAATCATGCTTTTTAAACTAATCGTACTATACCATGTTCACATCGTATAGGAGGAATCACTAAAAATGAACTAACTGTACTGTATGATGATAATAGTATAGGAGTGGCAGAGATGATTTCCAATCATCTTAGGAATAATTTTGTATGAATAGACAGAAAGTAAATAGATCGTATTGGACAATCTTAGGGTTGTACTGGATGATCTTAAGATTGTACTGTACGATATGCCCAAAAAGATGAAAAAATTATCTGAAACGACTGTTGACATCATACTGGATGGAACTAACTTTTAAACGGATCATATTGTAAGAACAAAAGAAGGCTCACTGGAATTCTTGGGTTTTGAAGCTCATTACTTAAGCAACTTCTATACTTTTGTTTCAAAAGAGAGAGAAGATTGTGTGACTGCTGAAGGAACTCTGAGGGGTTCTTTTGAGAGAAAATCAGGGTTTGAGATGAAGGAGAACGTGGTTGAGTGTGAGGGAGAAAGAGTGTGAAAGAATCACATGGTTGCTCCGGGCTAGTTACACCCTTGCTATTCTTATGATCTTGGTTAGTCTTTGAAAGCTTTCTTGGGAGAGAGGCTTCTAAGTCAAATCCTCGAGGTACTTTGCCTTCTCCAAGAGGGAGAAAATGATTGGAGGTACTCATCCTTCTCTAGGAGGGAGAAAAGGATTGGAGGTGCACTTCCTTCTCTAGGAGGGAGAAAAAGCTTTGGGTTCTCTGCCTTCTTTAGAAGGGAGAAAATTGATTCAATGTTTGCTGCTGTCATCGGAAAGGTGGCGTAGCTTTCGGCACTTCGCCACATCAGCTTTGGTGAAATTGAGTTTGTAAGGGATTCACTGCTTTGATGTCGGAGAAAAAGACGAGTAACTTATTATTAGTGCAATACCCAGAGCAGTGGACCCAGGGGAGTGGACATAGATCAGTATTGACTGGACCACTATAAAATTTTTGGTGTGCTTTTTCCATTTTTCGCATTTTTTATTTTCTTCAATTTTCTTTCTTTGCAAGTTGAGTTTATTGGTTTCAATCTTATCAATCAATTGCACTGAGATTAAACTTTTTTGCTACAGAATATTTGCATGTGCTAAAAAAATGAAATAAATTACTTCCACATGTTATTTTGAGTAATTTATCTGAATCAAGTACTTAAATTGTTTTGTGGCTAAAACAAAAAATATTATTCATTTTTAGGAATTTTTAAAATTACCTATTCACCTCCTCTTGATGATCCCCGAACTAGTTCTTTAAGGTTCATCCTTCTAGAACTTTCATTTACTAGATCATAATTTTATTTGGGATGATTTTTTTATTACTTTTTAAAATATATTACTATTGTCAGTTTTTTTGAATAAAATTTTTTGTATTAAAAAATTAATTTAAAAATTTATAAAAAAAACGTTCCAAACAAAGGCTATATCTATGGGATCAACTCTAGTGATGAAATCAAAGATCTGAATCAAATTCATCATTCATCACCTGTCACTTTTTGTCGGCAAACTTCAGCCAGCATTTTTTGTCTTGTCTAACTAAATTTACTAACTAAAATAATATAATTTATTATCTTTCATATTTACAATATTAATTCTTAATTACATCACCACATATCAGTTCCTGCAATATCTCTCATACAATCCTTCTCTCCCACATCCATGGACAATAACGAAAATTCACAGATACCAATCCATCTGAACAAGCTACAACAAGCAATCCATGAATCTAAGCCATGGAATACCAATCCTAGACCCCTTTTCCACTTCTTTCCAACATCTCGACGGAGAAGAAGCAACAGTCGCCACCGGCCGTTCTCCAATTCGCAAACCATGTTCTCCCTTTGGACAGAGGAAAAAATTCCTCGAACCCAAATTATTCAGCTTCTCCTTCGAATCCAAACCTACATAAGCAATTAAGCAGTTAATTAATTAATCTCCACAAACCCTAAATCAATAATAATGAGAGGGAGGAACAGAGCTGTTAGGGTTCTTACTTTCCAGGCTAAATTGGGAATAGTGGAGGCCGAAGGCGGAGGGATCTGCAGAAGAAAGTAATGGAAGTCTTTCTTCTTCGATGTAGATCTTAATAACGGCCGACACTAAATCACGGACAGACCAATCCGTCTGAGCCATCACCTGAACTGGCCCCAGGCTTCTCTGCACCGTCACTTTCACCAAAACCTTCGATGGATTCGCCGGCGGTGGCAGGATCCGATAAGGTTCGAGGAGATCCGGATGGGTCTTCGGCCGGCGAATCTGTCGTATCTCTGGCGATTTGGTGGCCGTAGAGCCATGAAATGAGGCCGGCCGCGGCGGAGTGGGTCGGCGTAGGAGCTTAGGTTGTGCTGGGAAAGGAGCCATCTGGTAGACTAATTGATCACTTGCGGTAATAATTGAGAAGATCAAGGGTATATTTATATTAGCCGGACGGGAGAGAAGACCGAGACGGAAGTAAAGCGGGACCCACAGATAATTGATTGGTTCTGATTGTACTGAGGTGAAATAATTGGGAGGGGCGGCACCGGAATTGGGTGAGTCAGCAATCTTCTTGAAAGGTGGATCTGCCATTCAATATTACTTCGACAGATCGAACCTTAGTAGTAAGCTCATTTTAATCTGTATTAAATTATTAATTTAATAATGATATTTTTTATTCTATTAGTCTTTATTTTTGTCATTCTTTTAAGAGTTGTATTTATTTAAACATTTTATGAAGTATAGTCCATGAGATTAATTTAAAATAAGAATTTAAGTTAATTGAGAATAAAATTTTTATTCGTTTTATTTTTTTTATTAGAGTTCATTATTTATAATTACTTTATTTCTTTTTATAATTTTTAGCATGTTCTACTTATATTTTTTAAGTTTGTTATAATAAAAAGGATGTTTTTATTTTTCCAGTTATTTAATTTTAGATTTTATTTATTTTATTCTGTTCTAACATGATATTAGATTTTTTGATGTGGTACAATTAATTCATAAATATGGTGATTATTTCACAACTATGATAACGTGCAATTGTGGTAGTGGGAGAATGCTAAACTGATTAGGCTGTTTAGTTGGGTGCATTCATATTTTATTGTATATAGAATGTGTGTATTTTAACAATCATGTTGTTTGATTGAAAGTAAAATGTATACAATATAAATGTCGATGCATTTAGAATACACCATCTAGTTAATCATCAATGAATTTGAAAGTCAACCAATTTGATTAAATTTCAATTATATATTATGTGAAGTGATGCTGGCCACACTCGTCATTGGGCACCGTCAGCTATTGCCATTTTCAACTACCAGACGCCACCATTCATAATCACTCACTACTGGTGCAACTCGTCGTCATCCCCTGCTAACAATCATTGTCATACACATCCAATCATTGTCATCCACCTCCAATCCCACATAATGATGACTCTATAAAAACTCATTAAATTGTCTTAGGTTGGTTTTTATCTTCTCGATATAGAGTGTCTTAATAAAATTGACTATAAATGTATTAATATATATAAATTGAAAATGATAAATGGTTGATGAGTCATAGTTTGAGTGGTACGAGATATGAATGCATTTGGATACATTGGAATGAAATTTTATTAATGATAGTTTAACATACACACTTGTTATATCATCATTGATGATAATAATTATCTATTGTTGTGCAGTTGTTTCAGTTGTTCATGCTGCATGCCACATTTTTTTATCATTTATACTTTAATAGATGATAGTTATTTTCTATGTTTGAATTTTTAAACTCTCTAAGTGTTATTCTTTGTCATAACAAGTTTTATCAAACTTGTTTGGTGGGTAATCACCACACAAGCAGATTTATCAACAATAGATTCTAATTTGCTATTTTAAGCTTTTGCTATTATATTGATGTTAGTAGTTTTATGTTTGCAAGTTGTTTCTTTTAATTTTCTGTTCATTTGTTAGTATTGTTCCTATTATATTGATGCACTCTCTTTTTTATTTATAGTAATAAAAGAACATATTAGTTTTCCACTCATTGATTATTCTAGTATATTCTATTTATATTAATTGTATATATAATTTTTTAAGGAGCACAAATTCAATTTTCCTTCCAAACCCATGTTGTCACATACTTTAACTCGACAACCTATGTCTAATGATGGCTCTGATAAGCTTTAACATTTGTATATGACCAATGTCAAATGTAAGCACGTAAAACTCATATTTTGAATTTTTTTTACAAAAAAAAAACACTAATTAAGTTAATTCTAACTAATCGTATCAACATCCTTATAAGACCTCATTACTTTGCTTGAAAATATAAAAAAAATATAGAAATTATGATTTTATTTTTACTCTTTTTGCATTTGAAAAATGAATTATAGAGTTTAAAATAACTATTAAATCTTATTATATCTAATCAAATAATAAATTTAACAAACTTCATAATTTTCAAAACATAGATTTCTAGCTTCAAGCCATAATAATTAATAAATATAAATAACTTTTTTGTTAAATATTATTAGATCTATGTGAAATTTAATTGTGTTGACTATATTTATTATAATTTATCTCGAACCTTAATTCAGTCTATTGAGCTTCTTGAGGGGTTATAGTGGGTCCTCCCATTTTTTGGGTTCGTGTTCTTTGCTCCTGAATTTTTTTTGTATATCGTCCCAACACTGTGGACCTAAACTGCTAGATCATGTGTACTCATGTGCCCTGATGATGTGTACTAGAGCAGCCCAACACTACATAGTTTGATAGAAAAAGACAGAGAAGTTGAGTGTTGTGATCTCCAAACCCCGATGTTCTAGCATTATTGTGCTACATGAAATCACATAGTGGGAGCATTGTCGCACTCCAACATGGCACAACAGTGTTGTGAGACCACCTGTGTAGTTTCTTTTCTCATTTTTTAATAAGCATCGTGTCCCTTGGTGGTCTTTATTATATCTCTTTATATGTTTTAGTTTGAGAATAGTGTAAATGGAAGAGAAGTAAAGCGAGGGTGAGAGAGAAGATAAATTTTGCATTATTTCTCCTAAAATTTCATAGTGAATTTCTTTGTATGGTGTAGCTATGTGGTTTTTTTCCCAATTTTTAGTTTTTCTACATTAAATCCCAATTTTTTTTCTTTCGCATAGCATTTTCTATTTCTTATTTATTTTTCTGTAGGGTCTTACTTCCCCTCGAATAACTAGTATCAAAGCCACATTCTTTAGTATAAGTAGGAGTAATAGATGATAAAGCAAGATATATGATTGAGAAGTTCAACAATTTGAAGTTTGGATTATGAAAGATACAAATTAAAGATTTATTATTTCTTAAAAGTTATATTTATCATTAGAAGGAATCACCAAGAAGATGGATTTAATTACTATGGAGTAGTGGACGGTTCTAGATAGGACTACACTACATTTGATTTTAAGTCCACTTTTCTTACCTATAGCTTTCAATATTATAAATAAGAAAATTATAGTTAATCTCATGACTGCACTGACTAAGATGTATGAGAAGCATTCAGCCTCAAATAAAGTATTCTTTATGAAGATGTTATTCAATATGAAGATGTTATACATCATTTAAAAGGCATGACACTTGAATAATCTAAACAATGTGATGAGTTAGTTGTGTCCCATTGACATAAAATTTGATGATGAAGTGAGAGTAATTTTGTTATTATCATTATTGCCAGATAGTTGAGACGGGCTAGTTATCATTGTGAGTAACTCATTAGGAAGTTTAAAGTTGAATTTTGAGGATAATATGGGGTTAGTGCTTAATGAAGAGGTTTAGAGGATGGTGAATGGTGAATATTTAAATTATAATATGAATATTGAAGCAAGAGAAAGAGGTTTAGAAAAAAATATAAATAGAGGGAGTTCATAATCAAGGAGATAAAAATCTATTTCAGGTAGAGTGAAAGTTGTGTGCTAAAACTGCAAAAAGAAGGGTGCCTTGAAGGGCTGTATTCTTCCAAAGAAGGGTAGTGGTGGAGCTTGCGAGTCTCTAAAAGGGATGCTCATGGGGGTAATGCAAATGATACGATCATACTATCCCATAGGATATAATGGTCGCAAGCCTTTACACTCTTTACAAGCAGGTTTATAAAAGAGTAGATTGTATCATACATATAATTATCCATAAAAATAGTTGTTTTCCCATACCTATCTCTATAGATAAAGTTATATATGATTCTAGAGTCATGAGATTTTCCTCATTCAATACATCAGCTTGATTGAGGTTTATTTAATGTGGGTATTAATTTCCCATAAGTGTAAGTCTTTATTGTTAATTAAATCTTAGGCCTTAACCTAGAAACATTCTTGACTAAGGATGCTATTTTATTTTCTTCTTAGTTTAGTGCATAGTTGAAATCCTAGGCTCTTCTAATCCAAAAGTGATAGGATCAATGAGCTATTAAACACACATAAGGAATATGCAGTCATTCAATCAGTCTGAAGGGAAGACATCAAGAGAAGTGCAATCACTTATTAGGCAAGTAAACGTTAAAGGGATAGAAAAGATGCCATCAGTATGATTTAGATAAGTGAGATTTATCACCTCCCAAGAATGGAGAGTTCACATAATGATAAGGCAACTAGCGATATACTCGTAACACTAGCATTTGATCCTAAATCTATAGTGGATGTACTATATTCCTTATACTAACACCCTCTACCTAACCAATGCAAGATGGTGAGAGGACTTATAACTTATATCCCACTAGGGATCTAAGCCACCCTAACATGGATTTATAACTCTGCTCAAAAAGGGGAACTAGCTTGAAATTAACCTAGCATTTTAAAATAATTTAGCCTAATCTTATGTAAATGCAAGAGTGAAAAGGAGGTAAAATAGGAGAATGAAACCTATGCCCAACCATAAATGATACAATATTATTATAATGGTGAACTATCCCTCAATGTGATAAAATATATCATATACTTGACTCAAGATATGTATGAGGGAAGTGCTAATTAGAACTAGCCAGGAGCCACCGTGAAGTGGGCTTGGTTTTAAACATGAGTTATATTTCAACAAATTGATCCAAGAAATATCATGTATTAAATTTTGAAATATTGTTAGTTGATTTTATCCCTATATTTCTTTTATCTTAACTAAGCAAATTTTAACTTTTATAGAGAATTTAACCTCCTGAGAGCCTAACATGAAGACTCCGTTTGAGCCTCTCCAAAGAAAAATGACTGAATAAACATAATAAAATCATATAGTTTTAATACATAATCAAAGTAAACACACTAATTACCGAATAATAAATAATAAATAAGAGGCTAGAAGTGCACCTAGGTGGTATCAACATCCGATTCTTTAGAAATAAAAGCAGAAGAGGATGTCACAAACATGTTCTAAATGTAGACAGTATTGATCACTCAGATCAAGAGGAGAAAAGCTCTCACGCAAGTC